TGGGGGAAAGGGTTGAGGAGATGGTAAAAGCATGATGAGTGCTCTCCCAATAGGAATGAAGGGAGAAGTGGTTGAGCACTCATGTCAAGCAACGCAGAGAGCTGCTGGCCTTAAAATTAACCCATGCAGGGATCTGTGCAATACCCCAGGGGCTGGTGAGTCACACAGAGAGAGGCACAGATCATACAGCACAGTGCCTGCCTAGAGAGACATCCTTGGGTGTCCTCCCTTTACGCTTTGTGACTTGGAGCATCTGCTCCAACCACGGTCCCTGGGGAAGGGGGAGAGAGAGAGACAGGAGAGGTGGCTGGATATTCATCTTAGTGCCCTGTTAGCATCAAAGAGGTAACAAAGACATCAAAACCTTATAAATCAACCGGCCACAGGACAGCATTGCTTTCTTGGTTATTAGGATGAGGTCTGGATTTACCACTAAGCGTGATGTTCCCTGAACCCCTGCGGACCCTTAAAACAGTGGTGAAAACCTTCATGTGGTTTATTAGTGTCTCAGTGCACAGGCTGCATGCTTAAAAAGCAGCAAGAGGAGGGGTGCAGGCTCCCATTCCATGAAGCATCTCATTTATGTAACATTGCACGTTTAGTGATAGCCTGAATCTTGACTCCCTCAGAGAAACAAATTCCACTGTGAGCTTCCAGCGGAGCTGCCACCTCCATGAGCAGAGCGTCCCTTCTGCTTAGCAGAGATTTAAATTCTCTACAAGATGACGAACCAGCCCTCAGGACAGCTTTTGACCCTACAAACAGCATCTTGAACTCAGACTAGACATTTCTAGCTGCTTTTCTAATCAGGGAGGAAGTCTTTATTTACTCCAAGTCGTAACATAACTTTCATCCCAGTTTCCCCTGGCTCCTTCTCCTTCCTTATGCCGCAGGAATCTGTGCACAGCAGGCAGGAGGTTACGGAAGGGTCCGCCAGCCACCCCCTCTGCAGGTGGTGCAAGCCTCCAACCCCAAACTGCAAGGCTGTGGTCTGTTTCAAAGCGAGGCATCGCTGAATAATGCTATAGATCAGGCACAAGGGAGTTTCTTTAATAGAGAATGTGGCCAAAGAGGACTTTGACAACCACAAAGACGGTTAGATGGCAAGGCCAAATTGAGCTCATGTATACTCTGCCTTTCCAGAGCTGGAAGAGGGTGGGTGTGGAAGCATCCCCAGGAACTAAATGATATCCATGTGTTAGGAGGAAACAGAGTTGCCAGAGAGCTACAGCAATGGGTTCAATCTCGACTGATTTTTTTCATATTTAATATTTTATATTTAATCATATTGTTGCTGGGGTTGGGGTGGTGATTTTCCAGTTGCTTTGTCTTCTGCTTTGTAGCACTAGCCCTGTGGCAGCAGAGCAGGCAGCAAGCATGGGTGCTTATTCATGCCATGTACTGCAGCAAAAAAGGAACTAGCTAAAAGCAACCAGCTAGATTTAATTGCTGGAACATGCCTACAGAGAGCTCAGTCAGTGCAAAACTCAGGGCAAGGCTTGAGCTTAGGAACAGAACATAAAAACCTCCTGCTTTAGGCCAGCTATGTTAGCTCTCCTACAAGAGAGAACTGAAGGCATGCAATAACCCAAGAGGTTTATGCTCTGCAGCATGCACATGGGCCAAAAATGACATGGGAAAGAACATCTGTGAAGTTGCCTTCTCCAGCCAAGACAAGAGTGGAAAGAGAGATCACCAGCCCCTTTCCAAGCAACCTCCCATATCACTAGAACAGGGTGCAGACAACAGTGATGATGAACTTACAGGCGGCCCCGTCTTCTTCATACTGTCCTCACCGAAGAGGTTTCTTTGAAATCTTTACTTTCCTCCCACATTTAACTGTTCAAGTGTGTTGCTAAGGGGATTGATTGGCTTAAGGTCTCCTCTCGTCTCATCTCTCCTGTGTATAGATATGTATATATACATATACACGTATTGCTAATGCTTCAGGTGCATCATTACTCCTCTTCCTCCTATGCCAGCCAAGGAAACGTACTTCTTCCAGGGCCTGAAGAGAACAATGATCAAGTCCAGCTTCCCAGCCATGTGAAGCACCTGGAGCAATGTACCCAAGTTCTCATTTCAGGCTCCTGTTATCCATTTCACAATAAATATTTTACAGTGAACGCTGCAGTGAAGCTTTCATTTGGAGAAGACAAAATGAGCTTTGAAGCTAAGGTTATGTGTGTTATATGCTGCCGGACACGCTCATGTCACTGGGTGGCTGAAAGACCCACTCACAGGTTAACAACAGCTTGTGAACCGAAGTGATTTCAGTGGAAAATTAAAGGTCAGTGATGCTCCTCAGCCTCTCCACACCTGGTAGGCAGCAACAAGCGTGTTAGGTGAATGGACCCTAAGGTTCTAGTCACACATTAAACTGAGAATGTAACCCCCCAGAGAAGAGTGATCCAGCCTTTAAACACAGTAGATTAGGGTACGAGAAGCCAGAGTTTGTGCTCCTGCTGCCCCAAGAGCAGTAAGAGCAAAGGCACAGGTCCTGGACTGCGAACTTCAGCTTTCCCATCTATAAAGTGAGCATCACAACACTGCCCTCTCTGAACACGTCAGGATCAGTCCTCGTAACCCCTCATGGTAGCAAGGGAGCTCTAAGGAAGCGCACTGCAATGACTACACATACAGGCACATGCTGCTTCTCCTCTCCAACTGTGTCACAGAGCACATAGTTTCCCAGTTGATATGGTTAAAGACTGCAAACCATTGCATTGCAAGCTGCTCAGATGGCTGAGGAATGAGGGCTGAGCAATCACTTTAAGTGCAATGGAAACGATTGCACACCACTGTTTCAGACAAGGGAACAGGACTCCTGAATTTAGGGCTGCTGAATCACTGGCCACGCACTGCTCAAGAGGGACAACCTTCCCCCATGTCATACTTACCCTGCTGTTGCCTGTTGGGAACCTTCCCAGCCAGCCTTAGGTAAGGGCCAAGATCATGTCACCTTCCACTTTAGGACAAGGACATTGCTGTGCCCGAATCTGCACTCTTCACATACTGCAGCGCTGCTCTGTGCAGCACGATAGCAAGAACAAAACTAATTTCTAATAGGGAAACTGGTTTAACCTATTCTCAGCCAAGACCTTAAACAGCACATGAGTTACTGCAGCCCTTACCAGCACAGAACTCTGCCAGACAAGCAGAAGTTGCATTGATTTCACTAAGCAATGCAAGCGATGTGTTCAGAGAGCTGCACGGCACGTGCCCCAGAGCCATCTGCTGTAGGATTCTGACCCCTCATTAAGTACGAAACAAAAAATGACTTAACTTCCAGCAATACAGTGTAAGGCCAAGCAGCTGCCAGTGTAGCCAAGCGTGTCTAGTTCACTGAGGACATGCAAGATGTTGGCTTGCATCAAATTCCTCCAAGCTACTTCGGGAAGCAAGACAAGGAACCCACACAAACCCACACAACTTCACACACTCTTGACTCAGCTTTTGACAGTCTAACTACATCTAAGTCCAAACCCCCAAGCCCTTTCTTTTCTGCTCCTTAATAAGGAAGGGTTTCTTGGGAAAACACAAGGGAAGGAGGGAAAATAAACGCTGATCCCCACCCAGTGCTTCTGGGAACCGTCTGTGGCTCAGCGGGGTCCATCCCTCCAGCTGACCCTGGATCAGGCCCTGCCCTGAGGGCTATCCACTGTCCGGACTCTGCCGGCTCCCATCGCAGCCGTGTGCGCACCCAGCCTGCGAGCACATTGTGCAACCGCTCTGCGCTCGCCCTCCCCTCCCAGGAGGGCTGCAGTGGTTTGAACTGCTGTGTGTTCATAGATGAATACAGCGTGTTAACGAAGAGCCAGGGCGAAGCACTGCACCTCACACTGACAGCAAGAGGTGCCACATCTGGGATGCCCCAGCCCTGACAGAGGCCATTACTTTGCCCCCAGAAGATGAGGGCTGGTTAATAGCGCTTCACTTGACTCCTCAGATCTGGTTTTCAAATCAGGTCCTGCAGAGATTCCATGGAATCCCAGCCTGCTTTGGGTTGAAGGGACCTTAAAGCTCCTCCAGCTCCAGCCCCTGCCACGGGCAGGGACCCCTTCCACTGGAGCAGCTTGCTCCAAGCCCCTGTGTCCAACCTGGCCTTGAGCACTGCCAGGGATGGGGCAGCCACAGCTTCTCTGGGCACCCTGGGCCAGCGCCTCAGCACCCTCACAGGGAAGAGCTTCTGCCTCAGAGCTCATCTCAGTCTCCCCTCGGGCAGGTTCAAGCCATTCCCCTTGGCCTGTCCCTACATCCCTTGTCCCAAGCCCCTCTCCAGCTTTCCTGCAGCCCCTTCAGGCACTGGAGCTGCTCTCAGGTCTCCCCTTCAGGAGCCTTCTCTTCTCCAGGCTGACCCAGCCCAGCTCTCTCAGCCTGGCTCCATTCAAGCACTGCTCCAGCCCTCACAGCATCAGTTTTATTTTAAACTAGCTAAAAGGAAATCAGTCAACTTCTACTGCCCACTAAATGCCCACTTATAAGGCAGCAGCTGGGATCAAGTCCGGCCCAGTTTGGAATCCAGCACACGCTGAAGCATCAGCTCTTTGCCCTGAAGCGGCTCGTACAACCCCTGTGCAGAAACTGAGCTCTGTGGCCTCAGCTCTTCCCTAGTTTTACCAGGATAGTCCTGCTGCAGAAAGATAATCTGTCCTGAGAGGAGCCGCTGAGGAAAGATTCCAGCAGATCCCCTTCATCCTCACAGCGTTAGGGTTTTGCAACACATGAAGCACATGAAGGCATTTCATTCATGAAGGTTTTGGGTCAGGTATTTACTGCATTCCCTTATAAACAGTAAAAAGCATCAGATCCACTGAAACAACCCTTCCAATTCAAGGCATTTAAATACATATTGCAAACCCATTATTCTGAGTATCGTGCATACCAAAGTGTCACAGTGCAGGTAGTGCAGGACAGATCCTCTTCCCTGCCTATTCAAAAAGCAATCTCCTGATTTCAGTCTCTAGCCCTGACAAAAAGCTCCACCCAGCCGGGGGGAAGTACATGTGCACAGCCCTAACCCCAGTGTGCCTGCATGGGTGTGGGTCAGGATCACACAGGTACAGCAGATGCTGCTCCAGCCTGTACAGGATGCATAGAAGCCGTCCCAAAGAGACAACTGCAGACAGGTCTAGCTGAGGCAGGCAAAAGGATCTCTGCAGATCCATAAGGATCAACTAGCATTCCCTTGGCCAGCTCAAGGATCGCAGTGCTGCTTCCCTCCCTCCACCTTCCTTGTCTCAGTGTTGTCAGATGAACACTTGATAGCTGGGCTGCTTCATCTGCTGGTTCGTTCCCTGCAGTACTGAAACATCCTGGTCGCTTTCAGACTGATCAAAATCCATGTCTGGAGAGAGTAAAACCTGCAAGGGAGAACAGAGACATGGTGATGGAGTGAAAGTTCTCAGCTCTTCCTGATACTGCCTGCTGAAGGGGCCAAGCATCCCTAGAGGGGGAAGCTGCTGGCATATGGCTAAGTGCTGAAGGTCATCTTGACTATATCTCCAACAGATTTGGGTGCAGACACCAGGATGATCATAGAACAGTTAGGGTTGGAAGGGACCTCGGAGACAGCGAAAGGCTCCGTTTACCACGGGACAGGACTCAGACATGCATGTTCAGGCCAGGCTGCATCCTCAGTGGAGATGTACATAAAAACCAGGCCACGTACTTCATAATAAGCTGTACCAAATGCAGGCCTTTTTCCAGGTCCCAGCTGCTGGCCGTCTCCAGAGCTCAGCCAGAAGAGCAAGCAGAGCTACAGGGTTAGCTGCAGCCATGGCCAGCAGGATCAGGAGTGGAGTCCTAGACTGGAGCATCTTATTTCTAGCTGGCACCGTCTGAACTGTGGGAACCACAACAGAGCACTGACACCTTCCAGGTAAGAAAGGCCACAGCTTTCCTGCGTGATCAAAAGGCTGCCCATGGCCTCCAGGAGCACCTACACTCGCAATAGCTAACTTCAACAAGCTCATTTGAGCTGCCACCGGCCTGGAGCCTTGGCACAATGGGGAGCCACGGGTGGGACATCCTCCAGCCACATCATCTGGAAGAGGAAAGAGGCTGGATTTTACTTGGGGTATGGCTGCACTGACTGCAGAAGAGCTGAAGCCCAATTCCAGTCAGCAGGCTGGAGGGACAAGTTCACATGGGTAATAGTCATGGCTGGACACGCTGTTGGTTGCTCAACCCCATCCTAGCCCTCTTCCCTCAAACGCCCAGATCTGGGCAAAAGAAGCCCTTACTGCCATTACCCCTGTCAGCAGCTGCCTCAAAGCACAGATAAAGTGCAGTCAGCCCTTAAGCTACAGCTTGTGTCATGCCCAGCAGTGCTCAGAACCTCCGCTGAGTCATGGGACACTAGTCATCCACATCAGAAACCTGGCCAGGTCACCAGGGCTCCCAGCTCAGAGGGGCACAAGTCTAACAGCCCAGTCAAGGGTCTCCAGTTTTATTTCTCTAGCTAAGCAATGCCAGCAGCCCTTTCCCCACCACAGAACCCAAACAGCACCATTAGGTCACGGCAGATGCAGGTACAAGGGGCAGGTACCACTTTGCTCCAAACCCATGCACCGTGAATCCTCCCTGTGCCTGGCTCTCAGCAGCCTTCCAGCTCAGAGACACAAGGCAAGGATGCTACATGGGCTTTCAACCCAGCACATCCACATGCAGGCTGTCCTAACAGCTCAACCAGTCCCAGAGCCCACTGTTCCTGCCCCAAAACCAGAAGCACAGGGGATTAGTTTTATCTCCATGCATAGTTGTGAATTCAGTGGCCCCCACTTGTTTGCACTCAGGCAGCACCACGAAGCCAGTTACCACAGGAACAGAATGACCAAACAGGAAAAACAAACTCCAGTGAGTCAATGGCTTCAAAGGAGCAGAAGAGCCGCAGGGGAAGATTTCCTCTCCACCCTCATGTGCACACTCCAGCCCCTCCATCTGACGTTGTTATCCTCACAGCAGCACTTAAGATGCTCAAAGGACAGCAACGGATCAGATTCTTGTCCTTCGCCATTGGTCTCGAGGAATTCTTTTCTGGTTCAAGACACACACAGGAAAGTTTCCATCTTTCCCAAGTAAAGACTTCCCCTGTTTATCACATTAATATTGTGATGCTGTGGAACCTGAAAACACGGGCAGCTAGTCCCCCAGCACTATAAACTCACTGAGCTCACGGGCTGCAACAGACGAGTTTTGGGGGTGATGAACAGCTGGGTTTCAGCAGCAAACTAATCCTCTCACAGCCAAGTGTAGATGACTGAGCAAGCACTAAGCACTGCACATCCAGACCCCTTCAGGCTGCTACCTGCCCACCATACAGCTTATAGGAAGCTGCTTGAGCCTACAGCCCTCCGTGTAACCTTCCTACAATCTCCCAAGGCAGTTTCATCACACGACAGCATCTCATCACTATGACAGCCACAGGACATACCCTCAGACACTGTTTTCAGCCCAACTGCAGTTTGAGAGGCTTCAGCAGAACTTGGACAAGGCAGTTTCCCTGCAGATGCATCCAGGTCGGGATCACAGCAGGGAATGGGCCACGGTTTCCCAGTCCCGGGACAAGGAGTTACTGTCTCACTCAGCAGTCCTCAAATACTTCATGCGTTCCTCCCCGCACCAGGAGGCCAGCAGCTTGCAAAACAGCAGGGGTCATGGTAGTGAAACAGGGCTGCCCATGCACTGCCAGCCCCTCCTGGTGGGAGAAGAGGCTGCCTGCTTCTTTGGTGCTCCATCTAAGCAGACCTTGCAGGTAACCAAGCCGTCTCAGTGGCAGGGGAGGAGACTGACAGAAATGGGAGCTGTAAAACAAAGCAGCTCCGGGGCCATTTCCCCACTGCGTTAAGTCCCACCAGCCCGGTGGAGGTGTAAGAACCATCCCATCACCCTCCTGCATCAGAGCTTACATGAGATGCCATGAGTCAGTAAGACTGAAAAGTGGGGTGGTTTCCTTCCAGAGGCACCTCTACGCACACCTTCATTCAGCTTCTCCATAAGTAGCAGGCATCTGGGCTCACTCCAAGTTGGAGATACTTAAAAACCAGCTCAGCTGAGCACTAAGCAAGTCAAACTCACTCTTGGAGTATTTTTCAATACTTAAAAGCAAGCAACATAGCTACTAGCATTCACCAGCATCTTCAGTCTTGTGAATGCCAGAAGTCACAGCTCCTACAAAGGGGATGAGGATAGGTGCTGAACTCCATACTGACCAAAGGCAGGTCCTCACATAGTGTATTAGCTTCCCTCCCAACCTTACAGCTAGCCTCTAGTTTCACCCCAATGGCTCTTACAAGCACCACTGTTATTAGACCAAGTTTTGCTTTAAGGCTTGTCTCCGATAATGCAATCCTTCAGGAAAGGAGCAGAAACTCATCCCCCTCCCTTGGGAAAGCACCAAACCAAAGCAACAAAACAAGCTCAAAAAAGATCAAACACAACATTATGAAATCTGTTTTCCTGAGCAGAGGAAACAAAGACATCTCTGATAACATCTAAATTTTACTGGCACTTGCCAGGGCAAGGGAAGGAGACTCGGGTCAAGAGCAGGACACGCACAAAGGAGAACTAAGGGCCCCACAGATGAATGCACTTCCCCAGCCCGAACAGCACCGGGTTCAGGCTGACACCCTTGAGGGATCTTTCTCTATCCCACGAGAGGGGAGGAAAATCAACAGACTGTGAACATCTACCTGAAACAACAGAAAGCTTAAGACTGCCTTTGAAGGAAGGGTGAAAATCTTCCAGCCCTAAACAGGGAGGTTTTGTCCCTTTCAGGGCTTCAGGGTAAAGAAGTTCAGCATTTGCTCCAGTATAAGCAAGAGCCCATCGTCACATCTGTGGCTCACCAGAGGAGCCTTAAGGGCCACAAGAGGCTGCCAGTTCTTTTGTCCACAGTGCAGCCAACAAGGTAGTAAGTCAAGGTTGCTGGTTGCTGGGTTTCTCCCATCTACCAAGCCAAGGACAAAGCTGTTTTCCCACTATCCCTGTAGAGAACATTGAGAGTAGGGCTTTAACAGGTTAACTTCAGCCCCCTCTTCCTATTCTCCTTCCTCTTCCCAACACAAACTGCTAGCTCAAGTGAAACCAATGACAATCTCTACTGGCAAGATAGGCAGAGGGTTGAAATCCAAGAAGGCAGCGTGATGGGGAGCTGCTGGCGCCTGCTGCTAGACAGCTCTGATGAACCCTGATAAACTGCAGGACACGGCCTCAGCCAACTCTGCTCCGTACAGACACCGTCCCAGCCCCTCCTTCCTCCTCCTCCAGTGGGCAGCAGGGAGAGGAGAACAGGGCATTAGCCCAGAAAACCCTTGCTTTCTGCTTTCAAGACTAAAATCCAGTCAGTCCAACTGTAGGGCTCAGCCAGCCAACATCACCTTTAACTCACAGCCTAAGAAGCTGACACGTGAAGCGGGAGCTATGCCTCAAAGCGCAGTGCCAAGAAACAGAGTTGGAAAAGCAGGTCACCCAATTCAGTATTTCCTCATTAGCTTCCTTCTCTGCCCAAACTATTTGTTGGGCCAGAGGCACAGGAACATGTCTGAGCAAGAAGGAGGCAGTCCTCAGAGGCTGCTCCAGGTAGGAACTGGTACCCTGGAGCTACCATCATTGCAGTGATGGATTGGAGGATTTCAGGGTGGACAGATGACCTGCACATTGAAGACCTCAGCAAAACGTGGTCTGAGAAAAGGATTCAAGCACTTGGAAGATGGAGGAAGCCTTTGACAGCAGAAGTCAGACTGCAGGGGTTGTTTCTGTCCTCTGAAACAACCCATCTGGCTGAGCTGCCAGAAGAGACTTTCCTAGCTTCTGGAGATTAACATATACCTTCCCTTCAGACTATGCAAAACTGAGCTAGAGGCCACAAAACTCTTGCCCCCCCTCTTCGGTGGAGCAGCTTCATTTCCACAGAGGACCAGCAGCTGCAACACCATCTATGAGACTAGATGCTGTGAGTTTAGGTTCCAAAGGCTGGAAAGGAGGTTGGTGTCTCACCCAGAGATGTCACCTCCTTCTTCTGATCTGCTGTAATTTTAGCTGATCTTAAACCTTCAGAAACGCACCAGCACATCCAGTAAGATCTTTACCATCAGCTTTACATTTTGAGCACACCTCCAAGCTAGCTCTTCTAAGGAAGTACCACTCTCAAACACCAGTCACAACCGAGAAACCCAGACTGTGCCATAACCAGGGACAAGTTCACACCCGGCGTTAACCCATCTTCATGTCTTAGGTATGAGTTCTTGGCTTCAATGCATAACCATCGAGTCACACTGATACTGCCCACCTCAGGTCGCTTTTATTGCTCTGGAGAGAGGAGGGAACAGATTTCCACACACACCACTTGGGAAGCTGCATGTTTCTAGTGACCTTGCCAAGCTACCACTGTTTATCTGGAGGCAGGGCCAGGAAGAGTGATTCACTTGTCTCAGCAGCTGCTCACATCTGCCTGCCCTCCCTGCCTCCTCTGACACTGCATCCTAAGGAGCAGCGGATGCTTCCCCACTGTGCCCTTGAGACCCAGAATCCATGGTGCAGACTGCCAAGCACACCCTTAAACACTATCACCTCTGTGTGTTTTAATGCCACCAGTAACAGGCCATCTGGCCCAGCACAAAAGCTGAGTTACTCTATCAAAAAGCTACCAGAGAGCAAAAGGTACTGCTGTACATCCTAAATCCCTCAGCAGAAGCTGCTCCTGGAGCCAGCCTGTGATGCCAGAAGCTCTTATCGCAGCGAATCCTGGCAGCGAGCTGCAGGCTACCAGCAGTTGTGCACAGAGCACTTGGAAACCAGGTCTGGGTGCCAGGGGAAGGAAGGGAATTCAAGCCGGTGACTCAGGTTGTGATCTCTGCCCAAAAGTCAATGAGAAGCACAAACACCACCTGCTCACGCTGTGCGTCATTGACACGAACATCTCCTGGGGCTGGAGAATTCCTTCCAGCCACAACTTCAGCTCAAACTACACAAAATACAGCTTTCTACAGCTAAGGGGCCATCACTGGCTGAAGAAGCACCAAATGCTGACAAAGCACGGATTCCCTGCTAGACTTTAGCCTCTAAATAAATGGATTCTATCAATACCAGTAGGGAAAGCAAGCTCTAAGCCAAGATTAATTACTACTAAAACAAGGGAAGTTGAGAGCAACAGTGCAGATATGCACCAGCTTCAGCTGCCAATCCAACAGCCCCACCCAGGTTAGTGCAAAAGCATCCCCCACAAGATACTGGCATCATTCAGGGCAATATGGGCAACATGGTCCAGTGTGAGGCATCCCTGCCCATGGCAGGGGGCTGGAACTGGATGATCCTAAGGTCCTTTCTAACCCAAACCGTTCTATGATTCTATTATATATGATTCTAGTATTTCAGCAATGCTTCACAGGCTGTGGTATTGCTCACAGGACAAGATCCTACCAGGAAACAGCCCTCTATTGACCTGAGCTGCAAGCATGGGAAGTCAGTTAGCAGGGTCGTCACCCACATTCATGAAGCATCACCCTAGGTCTAGGCAACATGGTGTTATGTTGTAGTAAAGCACACAGACCATACTACAAGCTTGCAGTTGGGTCTCAAACACTTTGGTCTTACCTGAGATTCCTCAGTCCTCCTAGCATGAGGAGTTTCTATGGATCCATTGATGTCTACGGTGTCCTTCTGCTCGTATTTCTTCATGATCAAGCTGTCCACAACCCAGAACATAATGGCCTTGGGGAGAAACAAATTACATTAGTAGATATAAGAGACCAAAATACAAAGTGGTTCAATCACAGCTATTTCTTCTCCTTTTGGTTTCTCCAGATGTCCAGCCTTGATCAACCTAATTTAATGTCTAACTTAACCCTGCATCAAAAGTGCCCATGGGGGTTGGATAAGTCAAATTCATATATTGATTCCCATATATTGATCCCATATATTGATTCCATGTTGTTGAAGACCCAGAGAAAAACATGCTGCAACAGGCCAAATGTCCACCAGGAGATAAACCCTGAACTAAGCTCCATCCATGGGTCATCTGCTCTGCCTGCACCAGCCCCTGGTCAGTTCTTTGACAACCAGAGTTTGCTTTCAGGCAAGGAAATGCACCCTGACGTGGCAGAGAGAGGGTGGTAGGAGAAGCAGATAAACCCAACTTTGCCAATGCTGCATTCATTACACTGCTCATGGTATGAGTTGAAAGAGAGCTCAACTCGCTCCTTGCCCATGCAGCATCTGAATCTTAGTGCCCTCTTCTCACTTCCCATCTTAACAGGAACAGAGCAGCAGGTCAAGGACTACCCAGAATGCAGGGAACCAGGAAAAAGCTGAGCTTTCAAGGGGTTTTGCTGAGCTAGTTTTAGGCAACCTGAACACTTTGCCTTGCTGTAACACAACCTGAAGTCTAGCCAAACGGCTAGTGACAGGCTGCCAGAGGTCACCACTGACAAGCCATCCTATAGGAACATAAAGGGGTTTGGGGCATCCCCATGCCTGTAGCCCTCAACTAAGGAGCCCCAGCTTTCTTCAAAGAGATGAAGTCAAAGTCAGCCCCCCAGCAGCCTGGACAAGGGAACACGAACTGGGAAGAGAGACCATGGCCAGCAGCAGGGACAGATCTGTATGTTTGTGACAACACATACACTTGTTTCCACTCCTCCCCACCCTGGCCCAGCCACTGCAGGATACCCCAAGCTCCCCATGGGGATGGACCATGATTTCCAAACCACCCCACCCAGCGCTTGCAGCGCCATCACTTACATTGACTATAAAAGGCACAACGAGCATGACCAGGATGAGGGTTTGGGATGTAACCCAGGAGGATCTGCTGAAGCTGCAGAGGAGAAACCATTTAGAAGCATTATTTGAACAGCTCTTTGCTGCAAACTGGTTGCCTTCTTACACCAGCAGTGTCCTACGTAGGGCTCTGCCTTTGCTTTATCCCAGCTCTTTGACAGATAACATGGGTTATTCCCTCAGCCCAGTTGCCAAACACATGATTTTGTACAGAGCAAGAAGTACTCCTAGTCTTTCAGCATAACTACCCATAGCAACTACTAGTGGGACTTCCCTTGGCTCCTTGCTGCAAAATAAGGTCACCAGCCACATGTGATAACCATGGCAAGGAATCCAGCAGCATCTCTGGATCTAGTAGTGAATGCTGCTGACCATGTTCACATCCAAGTCTGAGCACTGCAGGCTACTGGGTTTGAAGGACAAGCCCTGAACAGGAACAGAGAAGTGCTGCCAGATTGCTGTAACTAAGTCCTCAGTCAAGCCACATCAGCTTGTGAGCACTATGTGTAAATGCACTTAAAACTGGAGTTACCCACTGACTCCCAAAATTGCCTTTTACACCCATCACACCTACTTCCACCAAGTGTGCAGCTACAAGTGCCACAGATTATTACTTCTATCTTTTAAAAGAGAAACTTGTGACCAACACAATTACCATTGCACAAACTGCCGTATAGAAGCACCTGAGGACAGCATACTACATGGATAGTTCCTTCCAAATTCATCTCTAAGGGTCCCCCTACTTCAGGCATGGGATCACAAAACACCAACACGAACTGACTTGAAGAGATCGTGTTGAAATCCCCTAGCAGAACCGCAGTAGTTCAGCTGCCAGCCCAGCCCATTTTATCCTTCCAAGGGTGGCAAATGAAATAAAAGCAGCATCTTATTCCTCTAGCTGTTGAGCAGCAAGAAAATGTGCCAAAAGCCAAAGTCGTGTTTCTCCAAACCTAAGTAAGAGCTAATGACTACAGAGGGATGTCAACAAGTCATAAGTGGTGTCCCTGCCCACGGCAGGGGGGTTGGAACTAGATGATCTTAAGGTCCCTTCCAACCCTAACTATTCTATGGTTCTATAAGACTGACGATGGAGACCACTAATGATGCAAAGCTGACAAGAAACAAGCCGCAAGAGCCAAAGCTTACCTTTGTCCAACCAGGGATAAGCAGCACAAGGCTAATCACAGTCCTCTCAAAAACCATTATCAGCAAGTAGAGGGCACACTGGCCAATCCAGGCGGCAGCTTGTGGAGGGTCACCTGCGAAAACAGCACGTCAAATCTGAGACAGAAGGCAGGAGGAGATGCCCTTGCAGAAGAGCTGCCTTGTGCGTGATGCCAGGGCTGATCAGAGACAGGGAAGTGTTTCCATACTGCAGGTTTTGCAGCAAGACAAGTACCCAACACCAAACTTGACACTAGTGGACAGATTGCCCAGCCACAGTTGCAGGAGCACACGGCTGGGGTAGAGAGGTTTAGTGTCCCTGCTGGGTCTATAAGTCATTATTTCACTGAAGATCAAAACATACCAAGCTCTAAGCTCAAGTATTCCAGCTCCTTTTAGGGCTGGTTCTGAAATGAAGATAGGAAGTAAGCAAACCTATGGTTAACCTGAAGGACATGCAAATGACAGATTTTAGACGTGGTTCAGAAAGCCCTATGTACCCAGCAGATGCTAACACTACCTGTATTTATCTGCCTCCTGCCCCACTCTCCATTACACCAACCTGCCTCTGAAAGCCACCAAGAGAGATCCACCACTAATAACCTGCTTGCCTTGCATCTCCTCCTGCATCACCCATCTTTCCTAGATCAATGGCTTTGTTGGAGCCAAAGCCCTACAAGTGTCTTACAAGGCAGGCAGCTTCTGCAAAAGGGGAGAGATACAGCTCTGGCTCTGCCTAAAGACCTGAAATTCCGTGTTTATCCAGCAATGGCAGCACTTGCAGATGCTCCTGGGCTCTCAAGGGCTCAGTAATATCACAAGTGCTTAATAGAGAAGTCATTCCTAGGAACAATAAGGAGAGTGGATCAACTTTTGTGAACCTTGGTTTGGGTAACCAACATCCACCTGGAGCAAAAGATACAGCCTTGGAGATGCAGGTTTCCTCTCTCTTTCAGCAACTGATGGACATTGCCAGTATCCTCCCCATAGTGTTGAGCTACTTTGAGCTAGATGGATACAGGGATTTGAAGGGAAGAGGCTCTGCTTGTGCAATGGGTAAGCATCCCATCTCCTCAAAGCACAGATCACTAAAATCCTTTATAGAGGGAAAGCTTGAAAACCCAGAAAGCATCCCACTCAAAGAGCTCCTCACAAGCACGTGTTGCGTTGGGGCATCAGTCATTTGGTTTGCCCCTTCTCTGGCACCCCTCTGCCAAGGTATCAGAGGCTTCATTTCTTCTCACCTCTGCAAACCAGGAAAAGACCATAGAGATGGAGCCTTCCAACTCTTCCCCCTACCCCTACCGGCCTTGTAGAAGCAGCTTACAAATTCCTGGAGTATTTAGACTGGAAGAGCAGGCTCAATCCCTTCCAAATTAAAACTAATCCCAAAACAATCCCCAAAGACAAGATACTCCTGGACTGACCCTCCTCTATACAAGGACCAGTCGGTATCCTGCACCCTCCTCTCTAAAAAGACATCACTTGCAATCTGCTCCCTGCCAAGCCTTACCCACTCAGTTACCAGCAGTGGTCTGAAGGCTTTTGGTCACCATTTCCAATACAAGAAGCATAACTTTTCCATCCTGAACAGAATTAATGTTCTTGCTGACGAAGTGAACGTGTGGTTATGTGATACTCACTGTCTGGGCAAGAGACAGGGGCTCCATCACCTGGGGTTTTAGATCAATTCACTCAGAAAGAATCAATGCTAGTTAAATATGAATGTTTCCAATGGGATACTCACCAAGTAATAAGTAAAAGCATCCTGGTATTGCTAACAACAGTACTGGTGCCGTATCTATTACATGCGCTTGCTTCAGCCCTCTGTGAGTACCCTGCCAGCTGGTTATCACCTTCCCAGGCTCATCAGAATATCTCAGGTCTGCAAATCTGAGCTACAGTATCTGCCTTAGGAAAGCTGCAGCATTTCCTCTTCAATATGAAGATAACCCCCGGCAACACTGACTGGGCTGGAATTTGGCAGGAATTCGGCCGTATTTGGGTTACATCAGTGCAAGGGAACCCAGCCCACCATGAGATGGCAGCGCTGTGGGATGGCAGGGGCTGCGAGCTCTGCCCCACTCTTCTCGGCACAGCACCGTTGGGACGTGGCAGGGGAAGACAACAGCAGAGGTTTGCATAAGCTGTGGCCATAGAGACCAGCAGGTCATACCAGGGCTTACTAAGAGCTGGTATCCAACCGAGCCCAGCTCCAGGGGAATCTGCCTCCCAGCAGGGGCATATGTATATTTTTCCTTAATCCACCCTTTGTTAGCAACGTACCAAAACATCTGCCTCATTGCAAAGCTACAGCTAAGAAGCAGAGGCATCCGGCTAGTGCCTCTGTGCCAAGGATAACCCTGCATCCCAGCGTTTTAACTGCTCAAGCCACGATTGAGAGGGAAGCAAAGCAGGGAAGAACTGGGAGGACCAAGGGTGCAGAGAGGCTGCTGAGCTTGAGGACAGCAAGCAGAGGGCTCCGGACCAGCAGGCACAGAGGGAGGGAAGGAGGAGGGAGGCAGGAAGGTTACGTGTGAGCACAAAGAGCAGAGCCCATAGGGGATTTCAGGAGCACACATCTGCTCCTTGGCAGGCAACAGCTCATTGGGTGGTCTGAGGAGGAGACAGGAGCAGTGTTACGGGCAGCTAAAGGCCACATCAGGGAGGTTTGATCCTCCTCAAGCACGGACAGCCTCCCCCGATAGACTCGGTACGTCGTGTCTTTGCCACAGGTTAGGCACAGTGCTGCTCTCTGCCCTGCATCCCAAGACTGACCATTGCTCCTACATCACCCAGAGACCCAAGTACAAACAAACCAGGAGAAAACAAACACATCCATCGTGTCCTTCCTGCATGTCAACTCTTCCCCTTTTGCTCTGTGTTGTCAGCTGTGCTCTGTGCCCCATGGGGGACAGGGCAAACAGCCACAGCACCCTTTGCAAGTCGGCTCTTCTGCACTGCAGTCGCGATGGCACTTGTGAATCGCTGCCCTCTGTCACCTCCTTGTGCCCAGAAAGCAGCAGCAAGTTTGAGACCTCTCCCAAACACCTGCAGCCCCTCACACTGTTTCGGTGGTAGGAGGTCACTGCCATTCATAGAACGGTTTGTGGGGGAAAGCACCACAAAATCATGCAGTTCCAGCCCCCTGCCATCATCACAAACAGGAGAATATAGTTGTTGGTTCTGCACACCGTGCACTGGACAGCCCCAGCCGGGTTTTGGCTACCCAGGCTGATACAGACACTAGAAAAGACAACCTGATTCTTAAACCACCCTAGGCTTGCCCATGTCTCCAGGGTTAACAGCTCCTCGCCCCAGAACTTTTCCCTTCACTTTCATTTAAGAAGCCAGCCATCAAATAGCGTGAGTTTTCTTGAGCAACGTTTGGCAATGGAAAACCTTTTCTCCCTTCGTTAGAGAACAGTTTCCATTGTGCAACTGCAATACCCCATCTAAAGAACCCCAGTTCTGTGCCCCAGTGAGGCCAGCTTCACTGGCTAAGTCCACGGGGTACATGCAAGTGGTACAGCAAACCTGAACTACCATGCAGGACAGACCCACACCTCCTCCTACCCACCACATCCACCTTGTCAAAGGTGCCTCCATCACAACGTGGAGCTCAAATAGGAGTATTTTTCACTCTGGTCTTTTCTGCATCACCTAAGGAAGATGCTGTCAATTTCCTCCACAGACACAGGAGCATCAGCACTTCTTACATGCCCAGGGTAGACAGCAGAAAGCTATGGAAAGAGAGCTACAAACCCCTGGAGAGGCCAGATTTGGCTGGCTGCTCTATCACTGTAACCAGCTCAAACCTGCTGGTTCTCCAACCCCTTCCTCCTCCTTTCCCATTCTGAGCTTCGTTTTCAGACTATGGGATGAGATGTTCCTGTACAGGAATCCATCCTGGAGCACAGAATTAGATGGGACCCCACTTCCAGCCCTTGACAGGATGACCAGTGGGTGCCTTCACAGTTACTTTTGATTGTGTCTTGGTCTCCCAAGGACAGGAGGCTGATCTGTACCAATATAACTCAGGACAAAGATGAAAATGAAACAGCAGCGTGTCCCATGGGACTGCAAGTGTGTATGTGTGTATACATATATATATATAATAGATATAGATCAGTGGCTCATTTCCTCTTCACCAAGGATCTCAGGTGGCTGCTCCTTACCTTGGCAGGTTAGAAGGACCACTGATCCACAGCAGAGTGGCTGCCATCCAAGTCTAACTCACCACTAATCCATCTAACTCTGACTAATGCCACTAACATACAAATCACCACCTATTGGCACCTCATCGTGGAAGAGGGAGCCTTTGTGCGGTCCCTGGACAAGCCCATGAGACAGACTGGCCACATCTCCTTCCACAGTTAGGAAGCAAGACTGGAGAGCTGGCATCAGCTAGCCAGACACCTAAATGTAGGTGCTGACTTCCTACAGCAAGATGGGCAGAAGCACCCTCAGATGCAACTTAATGTCTTTAATGGATACAGCGCTATCCAGAGGTGCCCTGCTCTGTGGATGGGAGAGGATTCATCTTGCATGAAGTGCTTCCATGACTTAAATCTAGGTGAGCACCAAGACTGTCAGTGCCACATAACATTGCCAGCCAGCAAAACCCGATCTGCTACCTAGAGGCTAAAACACACCAAGCAGACCCCCCAAACAGCTCTCCTTTTCTGGGTCCAGAGCTTCCCTTTCCTCATAGGAGAGTGGGGAACTGGTCCAGAGGATCTTTGCAGCCTCCACATCACACCTCTTAGGAGGTCACACGCATCATGCTCCCTTTGAACGCTTCCAGTTTCTTGTCCCCAGCCCAACAGGAAGGTAACACAGGACATGTCAACTCTATGAACTGACTTCACCACCACCCTCTCCTTTTTGCTTAATAAACCCACTTACAGCCACCCTGATAGAAACAGCCTCCTTCACCCCAAAGGATGCACACGCTGCATTTAGACTTTGCTCTTCAAGCAGCACTGCTGGTGCTCCCCACCATCACAAAAACCTCCTTGATGCATACTTAGGACCACCAGTGCCCAGACCCTCATCCAAACGCATGTCTGGGATATTCCTCTTGTGTGTGGGAGCCCAGCTGCTCACACAGCAAAAGCAGCTCTGCTTGAGGCACTGGAGTTGTTATCACACAACAGGATTAGTTTTAATCTACCCTGTCGAACGTACCAAGCTGTCAGCATAGCTCACATGCTGCTGCCAAGCAGCTTTATTTACAGTCATTTGGGGACTGTGTGTGCACTGAGCAGGTAGGGAAAAAGCTCAACCACAGCCAAAGAGGAGGGGTTGGGGTGGGTGTGAGAAAAACAAGTATTTGAGAGCACTGAAAGTTGTGCTGGGTGGCGTGGTGAGGATAGAAAGAGTCAATGAACACCTCTTAAGATACACCAAATGCTACCTCCAAACCCAAGGGATGTAATTATCAGCACCAAGTACAGAGGAGGGTAAGAAAAAGCATCTGAACTGCACAGAAGTGCTCACTTAGAGGCCAAGAACAGGTTTTCAGAGGTTGGGATCTGATGCACCAGAGCAGTCAGGTGAGTCCAGCAGACACCCCAGACCCTCTCTGGCATGTTCTACATCTGAAGTGACTGCACAGCTGGAATCAGTCCCCAGCTTGCTGTGTCCCTGCTCTGGTCCCTTCGGTCCTGCTGTTGTAGGAGATAACTGCTGTTGTAATGGGATGAACACTGCTGCTGCCATCTCCATCCAGCAGGTTCAAAGGTTTGCACCCCTGCTTGGAGCAAGGGACCCGACCGCACACTTGACCATGTGAGGCTGGATCCTCAGTCCTCTTTCCCCCCCGGTCCTGGGGCAGAAAGCCCAAGCACGCTAAGGACAGGACACCCCTCAGCTTAGGGCTATTTTCAGCAGCATTTCCTCAAGCCCCAGCAGCCAGCTCCTTTGGCTGCTCCGGGATGTGGGAATAGCTGTTGGACAACATTTCCATAACATCACAACAGGGCCAAAAGCAGCCTACACGGATCCTCAGTTCAACTCAGCAGCTGGCACAGAGCAGTCTCCTAGAACTAAGCTTGACCAGAAGAGTTCAACAGGGCACTAAACAGACTTTAAAGGCCTCCAAGCAACTTCTTTCCTTTTCCAGACGGTGGATGAGCACAGAGCATCAGGCTTAGTCTAATCAGTGACCGCAACCAGAGTCATAGACAAGCCAACATCCAGGGAGATGTTTTCAAGCAAGGACACCCTCTTTTTCTCCCCCTTCTTAATGCTCCCCTAGAGCATTTTACTAATGCAAATTCATAGCATCTGCTTAAAAGAAATACTCCGGTATTTCTAAGGTAAGTAATGCTTTAGAGTTATTAGACACAACCAAAACGCCAGGACACTGTGGCCATCCATAGATTCCCCCCTGGGAGTCTGGTTGCTGCCTTGGGATAGGGGAGGAAGAAGAGGGCAGGGCACAAAGCTGACCCAGGCTTCATCCGCATGCTCTGACTCCAGCCAGCATCTCCCCTGCTCAGTCCATATAAGCCCAGCAGCACCTCCAAAACCCTGAGTATTCACTCCCAGGTCCTTTGCAACTTGAATTCTCTTCCATGCAGAAGTCCCCTAAAGGGAGGGCACGTAGACATGGTCTGCTGCTACCCTGCTGCAGCAACGGTGCACAGAGCATTTGTGGAGTTTGTTAGCTTTAAGTACGTGGAAGGCAACCAGCATTCTCTACTTGAACCAGCTGAAGAATAAAGCTCTCCAATCTTTGATCTTTCGAGCCAAGCATCTTCAGAAGAGACGGCAGTCACTTAAAATGCTGTTTCCTGTGCTTAGAGGCAGTTCGAAGAGCAATCAAAAGCTGTTGGGCAAAGATGGAGGAACAGAAGCCTATAGGAGCCTTTGACTCTCCACTAGCTAAAAGCCAGGCCATTCCTGGCTGCAGCAGCCTTTGGCTGAGAGAGGCTGATCTCAGAATGGCTGTCTCCTGGGTTTTGGACACATGGAAGTAGTTGATCTTTCTAAACAGTTCTGGATGGTTGGACACTTAAAACAGCAGCACAGATTTAGGTGCTTTCCCTTCCCTTTTCTTTGCTTCTCCGTTAATGAAGCTATTGCGGTGGCACAAGGAAGAACCACCTGAGGTGGTGGAGATGGGGTTACCAGCAGCAGAGCAGGAGGAACCACTGGAGCCCAAACCAAAGGATAACTGCCGTGGTTTGGGATGCAACCAAGAGCTGGAGGGTCAGAAAGGAAGCAGCTGCAACAGATTTCCCCTCCCCGCCCAGTAGACACCCTAGATGGGTACTGGTTATACTGGCCAAAGACACAACTAGTCTGGAGCAATGGCACTCAGCACTGTCTACAACACGGATTTGCTCCTTCTCTTCTGCCTTGCCTCCTCTGCAGGACTGCAAGAGATGTTTCTGGGCCTCAGGAGAATTGAGGGAAGCAACACCACATCTGGTACAGCAATTAGACCAGAAAACGAATCTTATTGCTGGAGCCTGTATCAAACTGCACGGAGTTTACTGGCATCTTCCAAACTGTTTTGGAAGCTCCTTAACACCCGAGCTGAGGACAGCAGTGCTTTCCTTCCCTAGGCCTACAGCAGGACAGCACCACACATGCCCCTTGACTCCTACCTAACTTCCCCATTGTGGTCGCTCTGGCCAGAGACCTGTGCCAAGAGCAGTGCTCGGCGGATGGGATATTGAATCCCCAATTCAAGAGCTAAATTCCAGCAACAGCAGTAAGTTCTATTACTATTAATGAAAGCAAGAATTCCTCAGAGGAGTGAACTGTTTCTGCAGTCTAAGCCAGCCCTTGCAAGGGGCCAGGGACAGCTCAACAGAAGTTCGTTACTGCTAGGCAAGGTTAAAGCAAGCTGTCAATACACTTGAATGCTTGCATCTGCTCAACTGCAGACGTGGCACATGAAGCTGTGCCCTGGGATGGCTGTGGCTGGGCTTCGAGTCCTTGCTGCTTAAAAGGGGAAAAGTGCCATCCATGAACCAAGAATAACTGCATTCTTCTGCTGTCTCACATGTGCTATGTTAGCACTCTGGGAAACAAGCCACTAAGGAAAAATAGGCAGTCCCCACCAGACAGATGCTGTCAGGATGCTGAACCTGCTCTGAAGATCAGCGCTGCCCTTAAGCCTTCCTCCTGCCTCTCACATCCCACCATTTCAACCCATCTGTTGTCATCTACCCAGTAGCTGCTTCTGCTGTTTCACAAACCCAGCCACCCCCTCCATTCTTTGTCATGACCCATTTACACATGCTAAATGCAAGCCTGAATAAGAGTTCACAAGCTAATAGGGTCTATATGCTAACCCTCATTTGGGCCAGGTTCCACCAGCTCCGTTATCAGACCAGCTACTAAAAATAGAAAGAAACAAGACTACCTTCAGAACAGACTTAATGATTAACACCTTAAAGGCAGGACTGAATAGGGTGTATTTTCTAGAGTGAGGCTGAAGTTGTCGTTATATTAGATATGAAATATAAGGAAAAATATAAAACAAATAACAAAAATATTGGGTTGGAACTAGATGATCTTCACGGTACGTTCCAACCATCCCACGATCAAACAAAGGGCTCATTTCCCCTTCCCCGCAGGCTCAGAGCAGCACTGCTCCCCTTGAAGCTGGTTCTGCTCTGTTTGAAGAGCAGGGCTCAGAGCAGCACTGCTCCCCTTGAAGCTGGTTCTGCTCTGTTTGAAGAGCAGGGCTACCCTCTAGTGGGGCTGGCTGAGAAAGGCTTTGCTGGAGCTTTGCCTCAAGGCAGGAACTGAAGGAGAGAAGCAAGACCCTGGCATGCATATATTATTGATAATAATAGTAATAATAACTAGTAGTAGTTGTTGTTATCTGGCAACCCTCACTCCCCCAACCCCACAAGTCATTTGAGACCTCGGGTCTGGGGCCAGGTTGGGTCCTACTGTTGATACCTACAACAGCTCAAGGCAAATGCAAGAACTCCTCCCTGCTTTGAGCTAAGAGGCTAGGGAAAAAACCCTGAAAGAACCCCACAAGAGTCACCAACACCTCCCCCAAACACCTTAATTTATCATATGCATGCCCTGGGCTTTGTTATCCACTCAAGGATTTAATCACCAGCCTGCTATGCTCAGGTATGCTTGGCAAGGCAGCAGCAGAGGTACCTGCACCCTAGTGATGTGCCAGCATTTAACAATACACGGGTCACTGCTACACTCCATGACTCCCTGGAGAAGAGATAACACATGTTTTATCCCCAGGCTGTAATTCCTCCCATTTTCTTCTCCCCATTCATAGCTGGGAGCAGTTATGGTTATGACACCTACCATATCCTCCGAAGACCAGGTACGTGTACTTCTTATGCTGCCCGATCCAGGAGACAACCTTCACACCAAGCCAGATCAGCAGCATCCCCAGCGTGGCATCAAGGATGAAATTAAGAAGGTAGCCAAGGAAAAGAAGGCAGGAGAGGAAAATTCAGGTTTCAGTTGTGTTCTGATTCAAAAATGTTCTTTTTCCAGTATGGGGATCCATAAAAAACACACCAAGATTTAAAAGAAATCCCCACTTCATAGTCCAAGCTCACTTCCTCGCTCTTTTACTGGATTTTCCTACAGCCTTACCAGCAATTTCTTAGCTCAAAGCCTGTTTAGCAAAAAAGGCAGCAGGCTCCATCAGGTCTCTGGCATCACTCATTTATGCATACAGCATTAAATGCTTCCTGGGCTAGCCTTGCTTAAGAGTTACCCCCAGAAAGCAGGCTTTCCATTTGCAGCATCATTTGTCCTTACTAGGATGAAATCCCAAGTTTCAGGGAAACAGAACCAAACATTCCTGGAATTCCATACAAGGAAATGGAAGCTTCTTGGACACCACAGCTGCTCTGCCAGCTGTGCAGCAGGAGGGGAATAAAGTCCATTTTAGTGAGCAGCTGCAAGAGGCTCCTATGAGCAGACACAGATGGAGAGGCAGAAGCTCCTGGGAGAGGTGACGGGTCCTGGCTCAGCTTCCTGGCACCCTGGGGTTCCCCAAAGCCTCCAGTTCAGGGTCCCACTGCAGATCCAGGAGCTGAACCCACCCCTGCCAGGAGATACGGGCTCAATGGACTTGCTCTGCAGCTTTGGATGTTTAAGCCTCACTGGACAGAGCACCAGCAGCAGGAGACCTGCAGTGACCTTATGCAGATTGCAGGGCCCAAGCTCTAATCCAGGACTTGGTATTTTAATGAACTCCAGAGAGAAAAAGGATCAGACTGATGTTTTCTGGCCAGCTTTCCATTACTGGAATCTCTGCTGCCAGACGAGGCCAGATTTCCACAGCACGAAGACAATACCAAGCACAGGGCTACAGGAACAAACATTTCCTTATACAGGACTTGATCCTACCTCTGAATACAGACACTGAAAATAACTATCTGCTTCTGAAATCACAGCATGAACGTTTCCTACACCCAAAGTCTCCGAGCAGCTTACTACAAGCTGCTGAAATCAGAGTCTTCCGATACAAACACAAGGCTCTGATGGGTTACACTGGGCAGCCCACGCCGTGTGGGAGCCTCAAAGCCCAGCGCCAGGGCTGCAGGGTTTTCAGCTGCCGGCTCGTGATGCTAAGTCAGGCAGCACAGGGAGACCCAAAACACACACTGAAACCAAAGGGCACTTCACAACTATGAACAGGTTTATTTTAACAGCGTAGGTTTAAAACGACAACGAATCATTTCAGAGGCTATATTTAGCCCCAAACTTGTGTCTCCTGTAAGAAACACAGATGTGCAGCACTCTAACACATAAAAGGGAGGTGGGCCAGGAGGTTTTCAGCAGCACTCTGAGGCCTTCAGGAGTTTATCAGAACAGGATAAAGTTAATTCTTAAACTAAACCTGCGGCTGTGAAGTGCTGGTCTGACATAAAGGTGGCACGTCTGACATAAAGGTGGCACTTCTATATTAAGCCCAAAAGCTGGCTTAGAAAGCCCCCCCCCAGGACTACAGGAGGTAGGTGCAACTGAATATCCGAAAACCACATCCATACATTGGACCTTCACCCACACAGTTAGGAAAACATCCTCAACACAGCCCTGAGACCAGCCAAATTACAGTCTGGGCTGCCAACAGATGGGACATTTGACAGAATCATGGAACCAACCAGGCTGGAAAAGCCCTTCAAGCTCATCCAGTCCAACCGTTTCCAGCACTGCCAAGGCCACCACTAACCCATGGCACTGAGGCCTCGTCTCCACGGGGTGTGAACACTTGCAGGGACGGTGACTGCAGCCCTGCCCTGGGCAGCCTGTTCCAATGCCTGAGCACCCTCTGGGGCAGGAATTGTTCCTCAGCTCCATCTAAACCTGCCCTGGGGCAGCTTGAGGCCATTTCCTCTTGTCCCATCCCTTGTTCCTTGGGAGCAGAGCCCAGCCCCTCCTGGCTCCATCCTCCTCTCAGGCACTTGTAGGGAGCCATCAGGTCCCCCCTGAGCCTTCTCTTCTCCACACTGAACCCCCCAGGTCCCTCAGCCCTTCCCCATCACCCCTGTGCTCCAGGCCCTGCACCAGCCCCATTGCCCTGCTCTGGCCCTGCTCCAGCACCTCAATGTCTCTCTTGCAGTGAGTTCCCCAGAGCTGAACACAGGATTCAAGGTGCAGCCTCACCAGTGCCCAGTGCAGGGGCACAATCCCTGCCCTGGCCCTGCTGCCGCACTGGTGCTGATGCAGGGCAGGATGCTGGGGGCTTCTTGGATACCTGGGCACAAACTGGCTGTGTTCAAAGACCACACTGCATTGTTTACTGCAGCTTTCTGCCAGCACATTTCCAGACACTTCCGATCACCACAAAATCATGACCGCATCGCTTCATCTCCATCAGACTGCAAAGACCATTAGACAGCCCATACCCTGAAAACAAGCTCAAGACGGTTTAGCCCCACTTAGTCCTTCAAATAGATCAGTTTCCACCGTGCATGGCAGTTCCCAACAGGCTCGCTTCTTCCTTTTCCAGATACAGGGTGTGAATGCAAGCACCTCATATACTTACAGAGAGCAAGGGTCCTCTTCAGTGAGATCCGACAGAAAAACATTGGCAAAGTGGATGAAGAGGGAGCCTATTGCTTGCTTGGATGTATCATAAAACCTGGAGGGAAAGACAAAAGGATCAGTGTCCTGGAGCACCAGCAGCACCCAAGCAATGGCCCTGTGTGGATCTGCTTCCCTCCAAGATGCACTGATGTCCAGGAAGCTGTATGTGGTGGTAAGGGGCAGTTTGGACAACTTCAAATACGTAAGGAAAAAGAATATAAATAAATACACCAGCAACTTACACCTGTTTGTACCCATCCACAGGGAATTAGGTTGAATTCCCAAGTTGTTATAGAGGGAGAACCAAACTGAGGAGACTGACAGGCTTTTCATCACTAATGCTGACTGGTAGCTCTATGCTGCCAAGCTGCCCTGACTGTACTTCAAGCCCACCCCATATGCCCACCTCTCTACACCCCATAAACCCCACAATAGACAGAGATCCTTTGTAGAGGTAGCAATACCCAGCTACCTTACATCAACACAGACTGAGCTATGCCTGAGCTGGGTCAGAGGACACCAAAATGGGTATTGAACTGAAGAACAAGACTTGGCCCTGTCTGGGAGACAGCCCCCATGCCAGCAGGTTGGAGGGGACCAAACCCTCTCCATTCCATCAGCTACAGTAAAACCAAGCTTTTCTAGAGGAGCCAAGAGAGAATTTTGCTTCTAGGGAGCACCAGCTACTGTCTTGAAGTGTCCTTGGAAGGAGAGCATTTCTTTAACGACTAACTGGGGCTGTTCAGCCTGGAGAAGCTGCATGGAGATCTCAGAGCAGCTTCCAGTGTCTGAAGGGGGCTACAAGGATGCTGGAGAGGGACTCTTCATCAGGGACTGGAGTGACAGGACAAGGGGTGATGGGTTCAGACTGAAACAGGGGAAGTTCAGGTGAGATCTAAGGCAGAAGCTCTTCCCTGTGAGGGTGCTGAGGCGCTGGCACAGGGTGCCCAGAGAAGCTGTGGCTGCCCCATCCCTGGCAGTGTTCAAGGCCAGGTTGGACACAGGGGCTTGGAGCAAGCTGCTCCAGTGGAAGGGGTCCCTGCCCGTGGCAGGGGTTGGAGCTGGAGGAGCTTTAAGGTCCCTTCCAACCCAAACCACTCTGGGATTCTATGATATTCAGAGGGCCTAGAAGGTTGTCAGTACAAGAGAAAGTGGTATTACATATACATGGTCTAATCAAACCCCAAATTAAAGTCTCACCATATCCTCCAGGGACGCCTCTCTGCCTTCGGTTCCTTAAATCGTTTTACTGCAAAGAGAATGAGAGAGGTTACATCAACCAGCAGAGCTGAACCGATGCACAAGTGCAGGCTGTGCCAACCTTCAAGGCAAAAGCAGTCAAAGAACTCTGGAGCACCCTCAGTATTCCCCAGTGTAAAGCCGGGCAGATCCGAGCACTTGGCTCCCAACTGACCCACAGGTCAGCAGGAGGCACAGCAGAGGTGCTTGGGAGGTAGGTGTTTGATTCTGGCATCCTTCAGCAGCAGCATGCTCATGCCATGGGAAGCGGCCCAAGGGAAGCTAGGGAGGGATCGTCACCGTCTACCAGCCCTAGCAATTCTTCCAGGCAAACAAATGATGGTACTGACACTGGAATGGTTACAGCCCGTGAGTTCACTAAGCTTTTGGGTCACAGCAGGGCCATAAAGCCATCTCCTCTGCAGACAGGACCAGAAGACCTTGAAGGAAGCAGCGCTCTGCACGCATCTCCAGCATGAAGGTACCAATGCCAACCCCCAAGCCCCGTGAGCTGACATGGCTCCATGCCAGCTAGGATCAAAACCTTATCTCATTACACAGCATTTTGTGTAATCCAAAACCACTGTGGAGCAGTGGCCTTAGACACATGGCTTCAGTACCACCTAAGAAAGACACTGGATGCAACTCTTCCTTCCTTCCCTGAAAAGTCAAGGCTGGACATGGCTTTGAGAAACGTGCTCCAGCTGAAGATGTCCCCGCTCATTGCAGGAGGATTGGACCAGATTAGCTTTGAAGGTCCCTTCCAACACAAATCACTCTGGGATTCTGCCTCCCAAGCTCTCCATGAACTGGGCATTGCAGAAGCATCTCCGAAGGTCCTAGTTAATCTGACACAGAGCTCTGATGCGCTCCTTGGGCTCAACCAGTTTTTACATGCACAAACAGGAGCTGCTAATGGAAAATACTAAGTTCCATATCTCGTGCAGAAGTCATTTTTGACTGGTTTGCTATCACTCCAGCTAGGAGCCTGTCTCAGACGGGACCAACTACCAGGCCAACTCTTCTCCCTTTAAACCCACAGGTACCAATGCTCTGGAACAAGCAGATGTGGAACAGGCTTTTACACTATATTAGATTTATTAATTAGAAACAAAAAATACCCCAGAAGTAAAGGGCATTCAGTGGCACTGCCTTGCATTGTGGTAAGGCTGCCAACGGCTCCATCTAGAGCTACAGACATCATCAGTACAGCTGCTGCCCCAAGCACGCCGCCTCCAAACCTCAGGTGGACACAGGATGCAGCTCCCCATCCTTGCCTCTGCTGCTGGAATCACTCTCCTTGTCACCGACAGCAGGTTAAAGCTGTCACAACCAGTCCCCATACACGTTGCCAGCTTGAACGGGATCCAGAGTTAGAAGTAAGGAGCTGTGATGGTCTGGGAGGGAAACGGTCAAAAACAACGATTCGGTGCATTCTCTCTAACATCCTGACGGGGATGAGGGCAGAGCTGCTGCTTGGTGGTGCCATCTAGTGAAACCAGCGGAACACTTGAGTATGAATCAATATGCAATGCACGACCCCGTTAGAGAAACCACCCCAGGAGTACCTATTGTGAGCATCAATCACCAAATCCTGCTACACAGCCCAGCTCTGCCCAAAACCAGGCGAACCACTGCAGTGAGTACTGAAGAGCACACAGACTACAGCAGCCCAAACACATGATTAGGTTTTACCACAACTAAGGGTTCACAATTTGAAGCCCCGTAGCTCCTTTTAAAAGCAACCAGAAGCCAGAACACACACCCACCATCCCACTTCATCACAGCTATTCTTTCTTCATCTCCACCCGGCTCCACGTAACCTGCCACTGCTTTCAGATGTGCAGCCAAAGGGACTCCTTTCACTGCCAACAGTTCTGGGCACATGAGGACACTTCCCAGGGCATCTTGTGGATATGAGGACGGGGACACAGATAAAAGCAGGGACATCAGAGCCGCATGTTCTTTCTGCTCTCCAGCAGGGTAAGGAGATGCACTTCTATAGACACGAGTTTCCTTACTGCCCATGGGAGGAAGAGGGCACACTCAACACCTCCGGCCCAGTTTAGATCACTAACACTGCTGACAAGGCCAGCACAGTTTTAAACACAACTTGACATCCAGCCCTCTTGCAGATCTACATTCTTCCTACTCGTTAGCCTTTCAGTTAATTAAACTGCAGAGAAGCAAATCGCTTCCAAGTAAAAAAATGCCCTTTGAGAGCCGGGAACTGATCTAATTCAGGCACGCCACAGTAGCTAGTCCCATGGGCAACCCATAAAATACCCACAGGGAATCTGAATGACTCGGGTTATAACCTGAAATAAGGCTTTTCCTCCTCTGCTCAGTGGGGAGATAGATACACAGCTTTGACAGCACAACTCATACACAGACCAGAAGGCAAACCCACCTCGAGAAGTGGAGCCAGCAGCAGGCTCAGTAAGGGCTGGGATAAAGCACCGACACACTGGATGGATACACCCCAAACAAAGGGCTCTTTGCTCTTCTGTATCTAGACAGCAATTACCTGACGTGCTCAGCCCAGGTGCACTTGAGCACAACTGCCCCACGGGACAGCCTGGGCTCATTCCCCTGGGAAACGCCTTCCTGGTCCAGCCTGGAAGGATGCAGGAACTTCCCTGCCTGAGCCTCAACGTTCCAGAAGTACAACTTCGTGCTACTCTTACTGGCAGGGTGAAAGCACAATATATGAAAAGACAATCCCCAGAGCCCAGGATTTCAATCAAGCACATGGAGGGGGTTTAGTGACACTATCAAACCCACAGAAAACCAGCACTCCAGTGAACCAATTCACTGTTGACATGAATGAGTAACGAAGCAGCAGTCACGTCAAGTTACACCAGGCATTGCTGCAGCAGTTTGTGTCCTACCCCTGTCCAGAAAAACCGCATTGTTTCCCTTATCCAGCTAAATCCCACCACAAGATCACAGACTGGTTTGGGCTGGAAAGGACCTTAAGATCATCCAGTTCCAACCCCGTGCCATGGGCAGGGACACCTCACCCTAGACCATGTCACTCAAGGCTCTGACCAGCCTGGCCTTGAACACTGCCAGGGATGGAGCATTCACCCCTCCTCTGGGCACCCTGTGCCAGCGCCTCAGCACCCTCACAGTAAAGAGCTTCTTCCTTATATCTAACCTGAACTTCCCCTGTTTCAGTTCCAACCCATCACCCCTTGTCCTGTCACTGCAATCCCTGATGAAGCAATAACTTCCATCAACACAAACAAGGTCTATCATCCCTGATGCCCTTCAAAAGGCCACTTGCATTTCACTCACCCGTAAACAAGAGACCCATGGACCAATCTAGCTGTTTGAGGAGACAGAGGTATCTAAATTGAACCTATCTTGCTCAGCTCATAGGGCCAAGAGCACGATGCTGCAGTTGGGGGGGTCTGCAGGCCACCAAGCTGACCACTAACCTGACCATGAGAGCACCAGGGCTGATCCTCAGTATTTTCTTAATGAGAAGGGACATCTCACATATCCACAGCCACTCAGGCCAGAATTCAGTAATTCAGTGCGATAAGATGACAAGTAAGAGGCAAGAAGTTAATGGTGTCTTGCCTTGTTGAACACAGCTTTCATGCCTCATTAGATTTAAGAGTTATCCGAGAGTGTGCAATTATCAGAGACAGTAAAACTGTTGTATTAAAGATAAAAGCTAGTATTATAGAGAAATAATTAACTGCTTAATAGGGCATTTACTGTGCAGGGCTGCAGCAGGCTGCCTCCAAACGGAACCAGAAGCCAGCCAAGATCAACAGAGCTTGAAGAGGCAGCAGAGTCCTTTGGTAGCCGTCACCCAGAGGGGAGGGGTGATGGATGCTAAATCCACATAAAAGCAGCACCAGGTCTTTGAACACCCAAGGAGCTGATGAAGTCCACTTGGAAGCAGCACTGCTGCTTCTGTGCTCTGGGAGCAACGTGGGCTCTGGAGCAACAGGCTGAGCAGCAACTGCAGTGTCCCTGCTCCCTTCCAAGCCATGGCACGCACAGCTCAGCTGGCTGAGGCTGGAGGAAGGCTGAAGTCTCCTTTGCCCTTCTCAAAACGTGTCTCTGCTCACTGGGGTCAACTCGGTTTTCCACCAGCTGTAGGTGTGGGTTTGCTGCTATGGCTCAGACAGACCAGTCCACCCCAAGCTGTGCATCTTATGCCTGCATCAAGCAAACAAATCATAGAACGGTTAGGGTTGGAAAGGACCTTAAGATCATCAAATTCCAACCCCCTGCCATGGGCAGGGACACCTCACACTAAACCATGGCACCCAAGGCTCTGTCCAACCTGATACGATACCACCAACATGTGATATTCAAGTTCTAGCACCTGCACCCAACTACAAATTGAGTTTAGTGCACAAAGGGCTGCACAAGATGGGACAGAACTGACGTCCCATTAGATTAAATACGAGACTAGCTTGCCCTGGGTCTACACCAGAAGTTATCAGGAATGTCCTCTAACAGCGCTACAGCCACAGTGTCAACTATTCTGGATGGAGAGTGCCATGGGTTGGTTAGTGGTGGACTTGGCAGGCCTGGGGTAAAGGCTGGATTTGATGATCTTAAAGGTCTTTTCCAACCCGGTTGATTCTATGATCCTATTCTAACTCTGCTCCCCTCCTCAGCTTTGTCCATTTGTAAAGCAAGCTGGCTTTTGCAAGGAAGCAATGTGACTGCACACCTCTGCAGGAAGCCCAATCTCACTTCATGCCTTTTCACATCATCACTACGAAACGGGACTTCACATCACTAACACTAAACAAGAAACCAGCCCTAGTAACACACTAAGCAAGTCAAATCCACATGAACCTTTAGATCCCTTTCCCTGCCCCTCAATCTTTCCAAGGGAAAGAAAACACCGGTGGAAGTACAGGCAAGCTTCCAGGCACATGTGTGAAGTCTAAAAGCAGCAGAGTTGAGTACAGGTTGGGAACAATTGCTCCAGGATTGAGTTCAAGTGGGGAAGCTCGAGAAATCAGCCTCAACTCACAGTGCTACTGGTGGTGTAAAGCCTGGGTGTTTGCACCATGTTTAAGGCGAGTCCCAGCTGGTGTCAGTGCCTACTGAGCTGCCCCTTTTACCAGGGCAGAGCTATCTGTTCTGAAGAGTAGCAAATTCAGGAGTTCTACGTCCGACAGCACAAAACCACCCAGTGGGGTACTGCTGCTGCAGAGATGTCACAGGTTGATGGGAGATGCTGGGTGAAATAAAGATGAAGACCTCATGTTCGTGGCTGAGGGCCCTTGTAACAGAGCAGGATGCTACAGCAAGCACCATGGAAAAACAAGCTGCTGAATGGAGGAAAGTTGAGAGTGCTTGTCCAGGTTCTTCCTGCAGGACCCAAACCTGCACTGAGCCCATTCCAAGTGATCCCATTTAAATTTCAATTAACAGTAAAAGAGGTGGATGCCAACAGTAAACCAGCTTACACTGTAGAAGCGCATTGCCTTCAGAAAGGCTTCAAAGACAGTGCTCAAGATCAACAAAAGCATCATGAAGTCCCAACCTGAAGCACAGAGGCTGCTCCAAGGCACACAGCCCTGATGCAGCAGGGAGGTGAGGTGCTGTGTGACCGTCTAGACTTGCCACACGGTCCAAAGCATCCCAAGGAAAGGCTGGGTAGGTGGGAAGAAGATGCTCCTAGAGGAGTCAGAAGAAGGGGTCCCATATCTATCCCCTTAAACAGGAGCCAAGCACCAGAGAGATGCCAGTCTGCCTTCTGGAATTGCTGTCCTCATAAGCGACCACTCTTCCCCTACTTGGCTCCGGTTACTGCAGATAAAAAGCTGTGAAGGGAAACTGAAAGGGAAGGAGGATGAGTGACAATGAGAGACATACCCTGCCTATGAGTGAGAAAGGGCAGGGCAGGAAACAACAGTGCCAAGCCCCTTCTCTTCAGTCAAGGACAATAAAGACCCTCAGGGCCACCAGGCCGGGTGGAAGCTGGACATGTAAATGAGAACCTGTGAAATGTAAAGAAGCAAGTTTGGGAGGAGAGGTTTTCATTACAGATCTGTAAATCCTCAGCAAACCAGACAATAAAAGCTCCCTGACAGCCATTCTCTCTTGGTTTTTTCAGAGCAGTAACAGGTAGACATTACGGTGTTTTCCTGACGCAGTTAAGAAGGGGACAGCTTTGCCTGCTCTAGACACATATAACTCCCCTATACTAAGGTAATTATAGGGGAGTTACATTATGTATGTAAATATGTATCTCACATATACATATAAAACTAGTTATATATAGTGACATATTTAATTATATCCACTATAAGCTGAGTCTGCAGCAACGCAGTCCCACAGTCTGCTTCTGCTTTTAAACAAATTCTCTATTACAATCAAATCAAAAACAGCACCAAACACCCAATTCCCTTGTGCTGCTCCTCAGCCCACTTGCGGTGGAGCACTCATGCATGCAAGACCCTCCCTGCACCCCCACTGACCCCACACTGCAGCCAGACAAACGCATCAGCACAGGGGCCTCTTGGCAATAAACCCCCTAACTTAGGCAGAATTAGCTGTGGACTAGCAAAACACACTACTGAATCAGGCTTAAAGGGGGAACTTGATTCCCTAGGAGAAGCTTGGCTGAGAGTCAGCCCATCTCCTTGATAAATCTTACTGAAATCAACCAAAGGATGCAAGAGTTTGAGCTTTGTAAGGGAGATGTTGACTGAAACGAAGCTTTTAGGACCTGATTTAGAGGAGATGCAAGCCTGACCCCACTGAGCTCAGTGACAGGCCCCAGAGGATGAATACTGAAAGGGAACCTGATATTAGAAGCACTCGGAGAGAGTGCTGAAGTTTTAATACGCTTAAATTGCGAACGGTCCACCAAAAGCAAAGGCTGCAGTGTCCAGGACTGGTTGCCTGCTTTTAAGAGAAAGGCTACACTGCCTACTGTAAAGCCCACCTCTGGAGCACCACCACACTAGTGAGGATGAGGACTTCATTTCTGGCCTTTACAGAAGGGGACCCAGCGCTGCTGTACCAGACACGACACAGAAGCTCTTCCCCTGCCCACCCTCCGTGTTAGTTACAGGCTGTACAGTCTCCAGTAACACAATTTCCACCTATTTTGAAGGACGCCCCCTTTCACAGGCTTTTCCCAAGCCCCAGGCAGGGAACAGAGACCAAAACCCTGGGGTCTGCACTATTCTTAGCCTGAGCGTGCAGCTACTCGGGCGGCTCAAACCCAGCCACAACAGGAGGCAGCAGCAGCCAGTGCTTGCAGAGAGCAGCCAACGTGCTGCTTGTGAGGTCAGTGCGTGCAGAGGCTCAAAGCACTCACCCTCCGTCAGTTCAGGGAGCAGAGAAAGTCCTACCGGTGGTTTAAGGAGACTCACGCTACTGACTTAACATCCTCCAGTCTGCACTCGTGTTTAGTCCTCCATCCCCAAACACCCTCGCAGCAAGGCTTCAGGAACCTAGCAGACCTGGAAGAGGGGATACTTTAGGGAAGTAATAGGAATAGACGATGCGTTCTGGGTTATCTCTGGCTCTGCAAGAAAAGGGGCAGCAGGGAAGGATACAGACTGAGCTAGCTCCTGCTGAAGATACCCAGCTGTGGCTGAGCTGTTCTACAGCACCTTTTAGATAAGAAGAGGGGTTTTATTGTGGACTAGGAAGTTTGTTAGAGGAGCATACATGGACCACGTTTGAGCGTTCAGAACTGCCTGCTGGAGCAACAGCTCTGTGCAAAACCCTGCAGGGTGCTGCACAGTGAGGCTGACGTAGGGGGGGCACAAGAAATACTTCTGCTTTTTCCTAACCGAAGACTTCAGTATCTTTCCTCCCTGAGACCTCAGCTAACAGCTGATCTCCCCTCCCCTTTCTTTTTAGCCCATATGTTCCTACTCCCCACACAGATCCAGAGCCATAGAATCATAGAATCGTTAGGGTTGGAAAGGACCTTAAGATCATCTAGAGTCATCTGCAGGTCTAGTGCCGGGGAAGCTCTGGAACTCACGAAGCGGCAGCACTCCCCCATCGTCCCCCCTGCAGGGATGTGGTAAGAGCCTCAGCTGGAACACTGCTCCCTGTGGAAACCCTAACTGCCCAAATGAAGGCCATACAGTACTTCGGTTTGGTTCTCAGCCTTAAGCTCCACCCCACGTGTCTGGTTTCTATGTGGGTTTTTACCGTTATCCTTAGAGCCGAATGCCAGGGGGTCACAAACCACAGCTTTTAAACATCAGCCATGCTTTGCAGATTGAGAACAAGGCATATATTTGATGACACAGTAAGTCTTGTAAGGACCTGGATTGGAGCTGGGCTGCAGCTCAAATGTAGAGCGTT